GACTACCGTAAGATCTCCTGCTGCTCAACCGCCAAGGAGATGTGGGATAAACTTGAGGTGACGTACGAAGGAACGGACCAAGTACGTGAAGCCAAGATTGACTACCTCACCCAAGAATATGAGATGCTCAGGATGAAGGAGTACGAGAAGATCAACGACATGTTCGACCGATTTTCCAAGATAGTCAACGATCTTCATGCATTGAAGAAGACTTACACAGACAGGGATCTTGTGCAAAAGATCCTACGGAGCTTGACATCCGAATGGCGATCCAGGCCGATGCCATCTATGAATCAATCGGCACATCAAATGTCACCATTGACGGTCTAAGAGGTAATCTAAAAACTTATGAATCTACTATTCTTAACCCGTCTTTGAATGACCAAAGGAAAGGGATAGCATTAAAAGCCGTCAAAGAATCAACAATGGATGATTCAAGTGATGATGATCAAGTCAAGCTTGTCATAAAGAAGTTTTACAAACTTCTAAAGAAGAAAGAAAAGGTTGAGGATGGCCCTGTGTGCTAGGGATGTGGTGAAGCCGGGCACATCAAGAACAAATGCCCAAGAAGCGGAAGGAATACTCGTCACTTCAAAAAGCAAAGAGCATACATCTCTTGGGGTGGCGACTCCGGCGATGAGTCAAGCGAGCAAGAGGAAGACGAAGAAGCAAACTTTTGTCTCATAGCTCAAGAAGAAGAGGAGTCCGCCAACGACGAAAACCAAGAGGTATGTAATTCTTCTACTGTTTCTTATTCTCTTGAAGAAATGCAAGAAGCTCTCCAAGAGCTTTATGATGAGTTTGTTAGCGCTTCTAAAACCTACAAAGCTTTAAAGAAACATTTTTCTAATCTTGAAATTGACCTTGAAAAACTTCAAAAGGAAAATGAAAAACTAAAAGAGGAAAATAAGTTTTATGGTAAAAGAAGCGCCGATAAACCCGAGAGCTCTAAGAAAAATTGTGACACTTGCATAGCTTTGAAAGAACAAATGTCAAAACTTGAGAGTACAGTTAAGAAATCTAATACTCCGCACAAAGATCTTAATTTACTCCTTGACACTATGCACTTTTCTAAAGAAGGAATAGGTTTTAATAAAAACGAAGCTAAGGAGAAAGAAAAAGTTGAGCACAACCGTAAACCACCTAGAGCTCAACCTAAGAAAGATAAAAATAAAAATAATAGACAACCTAGACAAAAGGTTAGTCATGAACACGAGCACTCTAGGAAACCTAGGAGGAATTATCAAAATGATTTTATGGACATAAATAATTTTTCAAATAGACAAAATAATGCTAGAACACCTAGAAGAGAGAATCTTCAAAATATCCAAACACCAATATTTTCTCAAAATAGGATGAATATGGTTAGACCCCCTAGCTATTACCAACCTAGGCATATGTTCAACCCATATGTAGTATGCCATTATTGCAATAGGGTAGGACATATAGCTCCCGTGTGTTTCACTAGACATAGGCACTTGACCTTTAATGAAACACACAACATATTTAGTGCTAACGAAATGAAATCCTTTGGAAAAGGATATTCGAATCATAAACAATCTCCACAGGATAATGCACAAAAGAAACCGTATTATTTCTTCTACTTTGAAGAAAAAAAGAAAGTCCACATTCCGTTACCGGAACAAACACAAATAACACCGAGATATCGGCACTCCGTTCAGGTAGACTGGAACCCGCCAACCACGAGACGATGGGTTGGCCAAGGTAACTCCTAAACAATCACTTTATCGTGTGTGTGTGCGCACATATGGAAACATATTTTGGGTGTGTGTGGGAAATAAAGGTAAACTAACCCCCAAGGACCCATAGACATACTTTGGGTACCAAAATGTTGTTTTTTTTGCAGGCAGAGGCGGACCCACCTTGAGTCCTATGGGGTCCCGGGACCCCACGGACTCCGGAGTAGGTCCATATAGGTATTAAGTATGTATAGATATTAATATATAAAACACGCTTGTCAATTACGGAATAAAAGCCCGTTTGGTTCAGCGGAAGAGTCCACAAGCGCGCCTAACCCCTTCTCCACTGGACGGAGGTTCGACTCCCAGTCTAGTGACCTTTTAGCGTAAATTTTTTTCTTCTTTGGAGTCAATTTTTTTTGTAACTTTTTAGAGTAAATTTTTTTCTTCTTTGGAGTCAATTTTTTTTTGTAATTAGCATCAAAATGATGTCATTTTCCCTCCCCTTTTCTTTGTAAATTTCTCCTCTCTTCTCTAGTTCCCCAATTCTTTATTTTACACTTTTAATTTTGATTTTGGAGTTAATTTTTTTTCTTTTTTAGAGTAAAATTTTTTCGTAATTAGCATCAAAACGACGCCATTTTCCCCCTCCCCCCTTTTCTCTGTAAATTTCTCCTCTCTTCCCCAGTTCCCAAATTCTTTATTTTACACTTTTAATTTTGATTTTGGAGGCAAATTTTTTTCGTAATTAGCATCAAAACGACATCATTTTCCCTCCCCTTTTCTATGTAAATTTCTCCTCTCTTCCCTAGTTCACCAATTCTTTATTTTACACTTTTAATATATGAATATATGATTAGTATTTACTAATATATAATAATTTACACATTAAAGAATCAAAGATTTGTCTTCAATAAAAAATTGATTTAGGATGGCTAGTGATAAGTATTATTGTATTAATGTTCATTTTATGTCTAATTTACAGAATTTAAAATTCAAAGGTATTTCAAAAAGCTAGCCAAATTCAAAGATTCGGAGTCGAGTGGAATTGGTATGACTTTATTTATATGTATTCCAAAAGCTAGCCAAATTCAAATTCAAATTACGATATTGTTTTCGTATGACTTTGTTTATATATATTAATTATGGTACTCTTCAAATATTAGTTTTAATTTATTGTTAAATATTACTCCCTCCGTCCTAAAACTTTCTTCCCACTTTCCCTTTTTCTCCGTCCTAAAGCTACCTTCCCATTAGAAAAAAAAGATGACAAATGACATTAATACTCTCATGTATTTACACCAATTATCTTCTAACTCTATATTTTGAATGATTGCAAAAAAAAATTTGCAAAAAATCTTTTTTAAGGAGGGTAAAATTTGAAGTCAAAGCCAAAAATTAAAAATGGGGAAAAGTCAAACCGAGAAGAAAGTTTTAGGACGGAGGGAGTAAGACTTATGAAGTAGTTTGACATGAGAATGTGAGGTAGTCGGGTGTAGGGGACCCCATGGCCTTAAAATCCTGGATCCGCCTCTGTAATTGCAGGTACGTATCAAAGTGAGGAACTCAGGGGGAACCAGCAATGGATGGTTTATCCCATCGCTGGGAAGGAAGTATTTTCTAACCAGCAACCCTCTTCCCATCGAAGGGAACTTCTTCCCATCGCTGGGTGTTGACACTTTGTTTTAAAATTTTTTTTTGAGTAGTTGTCTTCCCATGGATGGGAGAACCTTACCATCGCTGGGAAGACTGCCTTCACTTTTTCCTCCCTTTCCAGTACCTGTCTTCCCATCGATGGGAGAAAACCTTACCATCGCTGGGAAGCCTGTTGCAGTTCAAAAATCAAAGATTTTCCTATAAATATTAACCATTCTTGGTCATTGTTGGGAAAAATACTATAGATTTTGATGATGATGTATTTAGAATGTAATAGGGACTTTAGGTCTTCCCCATTATTCAATGTAATTTTTCTTTTTAGAAATATTGTCAAAACCGAGCTCTTGAGATTACCAATAAAGTTGTGATATTTCGTTTTGATTCCTGAAGACTTAATCAAATTCAGTGATATGGAAATTGGATATCTTGATCAGAAATGTCAGAGACAAGTAAGGATTTCTCAAGCAGATGAAAATCCTCTGATCCTGAAGACTACATAAGAACCGGATGTCTCGCTACAACCCGCTGAAGGCTAAGTCATCCAAGTCGGAAGACTAGCGCGGATCTTTTTTTTTCACCTGGAAGTCTGAAAACGACTCCTCCGGATTTGTCAGCTAAGAATCGGAAGACTCATTGAAGACCGGAATTCTCAGAAAGCGGACAAGTGAGAAAAGACTTAGAAAATTATCTAAGTCTTGAATGAAGAAATTCTACCCGCTGGTAAGGAAAAATCAATCTCTTGATTTTCAACGGCGAGATTGAAGATAATTATGCTGATTCAAGAACAAATAACTCGAAGACAAAGTCTGGACCTCTAAAATTAAAGAGCCTGTCCAGAATTCCTAAACAAGCACTAGAAGACAAACAGAGTAAAGTGCTACAGTCTTGAATTCTTGAACAACAGCTAGAAGACGGATTCTGTGGAAAAAGGAATCCTTCCTCAACAATTGGGTACGTCCAAATACCCACTTCAACAAAGAATTTTCAAATCACAATCTTCATTCAAAATTGAAGCCAGCAAATGCAACGGATAGTCTATTTTTGATTCAACGGATAGATTATCCAATCCAGCTATAAATAGCATCCTTGGAAGACTGGAGAAAATACAATGAGATACGTTGATACAATAACACAACGAAGCAATCTCTAACAATAAAAGCCATCTCATTCACAGTTATCCCAAATAGCTTGATAAAGAGAGATTTCTAAACTCCTTATCCAGAAGCAAACTCCTCCTCCTTCCAAAGAGCTATAGTGTAAACACTTGAAGGTTTCCTTGCCTCAAGTACCACACCACGTTGAAGGATACTACTTTTGATCAAACTTATTGATTAAAAAGAGGGTAGGTCAACTTTCTTACAAGTTGATCTTGCAAGTCTTATTGTTCAGACCTGGCAGTTGTTGAAGAAGCTTGACCTTCGAAGGAACAACAAAGCCAGCACGAGTGCAGTAGCAACATTGGTCTTGCGAAGATATACCGTGCAGAAATTCACACAAGTGTAATTGTTGGTTCATTATTCAACAATCAACTACATAGTGGATTTTGAGGACGTAGAAGGATTACCCCACCTTCGAACCTCGTTAAAGTTTGCGTGTCTCTCTCTTTTATCTTTACTTTTACTTGCAATTATAGTAACTGTGAAAACTAACCCATCCATATTGATTACTGCTCACTCTACCCACCAAAAATTCCGCACACAATCTAAAGTTCACAAGAACTCTAGATTAACACTTATTTTCTCGTTTTCAAAAGAAACGAAAAGGTTTTTAAATCTGTAACAAAGTCTATTCACCCCCCTTCTAGACTTTGTATTTCACCACTTTGGGACCACCAATTGGTATCGGAGCAAACTTCTCACTATCTACGTTTAGATTAACGAGAAGCGATCACAATGGTGAACAATATGGATCACGGTTTTCCCAAGTTTTCTCTTCTAGGTTATGATGATTGGAAGATCATGATGGAAGCACATCTCTATGCTCTACATGACTGCATGTGGATGGTGCTTGAGGATGGACCCTTGAAAATCCAAATAAAGAATCCTGAGAGGAATCCAGCAACTCCAGATGTAGTCCAGTACATTCCAAAGCCCAAGGAAAAATGGGATGATAGAGACTGCAAAAAGCACAATCTGGACAACGTTGCCAAAGCAGCCATCTTTAAGACTCTTGATCCCATCACCTTCTCCAAAATCAAGCATCTCAAGACTGCCATGGAGATATGGCAAGGTCTTGGGAAGCTATGTGAGGGATCAGAGGACTTAAGAAAGCAGAAGATAGAAGTCCTGCTTGAGAAGTTCAAAGGCTTCAAAATGCTTCCCGGAGAATCATTTGATATGTTGGATGAAAGATTCCACAAAATCTTGAATGATCTTGCCTCACTTAACCACGTTCTTTCTCCAAAAGAAAAGAATGTAAGGTTAGTGAGATCACTTCCGACCGAGTGGTACACCAAAGCCACAGCCATGGAAGAAGGAAGAAACCTGGAAAACTACACTGTCCAAGGTCTCCTTGATGAGCTCAAAACCTATGAGCACGAGCTGAAGAAGAAGAAGGAAGAACAAGTCACTCCCTTCCCCATGGCACTGATGACAACTCCAAGAGTCCCATCAAGTGAAGGGACATGCCCAAGAAACTGTGACACACCCTCCTCCAGCCAGCCGTCAAGCTCAAAAATGGAGAACTACGATGAGGAATTTGCCATGATGGTCAAGCAATTCCAGAAGTTCAAGAAGTTCTTCAAGAAGGCTGACTCAGTCAGAAGGCCATCCAAGGGAAAGCCACAGATAAGTGACTCCCCTCCTGAATCTTATTTGTGTTATAACTGCAGGAAGCCTGGCCACTGGAAGTCAGCATGCCCATACCCAAAGGTGGAGAAGTACGGAGAAAGGGAAAGGAACGAGAAGAAAAAGAAGGCAATGGTTGCTGCTGAAAGTGACGAGTCATCCAGCTCAAGCTTAGATGAAGAAGCCCTCGTCTGCATGGAGCGCAGAGCTGAAAAGTCCAACCATGAGGATAGGTGGACTATGTCAGAAGATGACACCCTCTGCCTAATGGCCAAAGATGATGCTGATCAAGAGGTAACTTCACAAACCTCCTGCTCATCTTCTTATGAAAGCATACCAACTTCTGAAAATCTTTTTGACCAGTTCAAAAAGATGATGGTAGATTTTGAGGAAATAAATCTCAAACATTCATCCTTAACAGAGGAGAACAAACTTTTGAGTGAAGAGAATCTCAAGTTGACTGAAGGTAGGAGAAGTCAACTGAATGAGATCACTCAACTCAAAACTGAAAATGAATCTCTCTCTAAAATCCCTTAACAAAGAGCTAGGGATACTTAAGTCCAAAGAAGCAGTGGATAAGCTTCTTGAAACGACCAAACATAAGGGTCGTGAGGGACTTGGGTTTGACCCCTCTAGTTCCAAAAGGAAAGGGAGAACAACTTTCATCCCTCCTAAACCTACTGCCCAACCAAATAAGCAGAAAGGAAAGGAAAAGGAGAAACCAACAGAAGTTTCCAAAAAGGTAGTCCCTCCTAAGAACTATAGGAAGCTGGACAGACCTCAAAAAGGAAATAATTTCAGAAGAAAACCTTCTAACCCCCATTTTACACGAGGCTATACTCATTATGGGGTAGATAGGAGTTTTCCAAGAAGTTCTGAGTGGAGAACTATGCCAAGATATAGTCACCCTCCACCCCAGAAACTATTTGTGCCACCTAAGTATGCTTATAACCGACACAGGTCACAATATGCACAACCTAGACAAAACTATAGGTCTTATCAACCTAGGTTTGCTAGGAGGAAACAGGAAATTGCACCTCCTGCACGTAAGAAGTTTTATGCCTACAACTATAATTACAATCCCAATAAGTTTAGAGCTGCAAGGAAAATTCCCTGCAATTTCAAACTTGATGTAGGGATACACACCATTAACTATTCCGGACCCAAACTTAATTGGGTACCAAAATCGTCCTCCTCCTAATGCAGGAAGCCGCTAAGTACCCAGGTGTCTGGTACTTAGACAGTGGCTGTTCAAGACACATGACGGGTGATGCGAGCCTTTTGAGCAATCTGATTCCCTATGATGGTCCAAGAGTTACTTTTGGAGGAAGAAATGATTTTGGCCTTACTAAAGGGCTAGGAAATCTGGTGTACAAGGGACTAACCATCCAAGCTGTATCTTATGTTGAAGGTCTCAATTATAACCTTCTTAGCATAAGTCAGTTTTGTGATAAAGGTTACTCCTTGGAATTCTGCAAGGACATGGCATCTCTCAAGAACATCTCCACAAATGAGGTCATTCTCACTGGGAAAAGAATCAGGAACATCTATGAAGTAATGTGGGACAATGTCAAGGAAGCATGTCTAATCAGCAAAGGTGACACTAACCTTCTATGGCTTTGGCATAAGAGGTTGAGTCATCTCAACTTCAAAACTCTCAACAAGCTGTCCAAAGAAGGGTTAGTGGAAGGTCTTCCCAAAGCTGCATTCAGAAAGGAAAGCATTTGTGATGCTTGCCAAAAAGGAAAGCAAGTCAAGTCCACTTTCAAGGCAAAATCGGCACCCTCAACTACAAGGATATTAAGTCTTATTCACATGGACTTATTTGGCCCTGTTACACCAATAAGTCTAAGTGGAAAGAAATATGTCCTGGTGGTAGTTGATGATTACTCAAGATACACGTGGACAATCTTCCTCAACGGCAAGAAGGAGACTCAAGGGAAACTCACAAACTGCATGAAGCTGATTCAAAACCAAGCAAGTCAAACCATTCAGAAGATCAGATCTGACAAAGGCACAGAATTCCTGAATGAAATCATCATTCACTATTGTGAAGAAAACGGAATTCTTCATCAAACATCCGCAGCAAGGACACCTCAACAGAATGGTGTAGCTGAAAGAAGGAACAGAACCGTGAAGGAAGTAGTGAGAACCATGCTAGTAGAAGCTTCCTTACCAAAGAGGTTCTGGGCTGAAGCTGTTGAAAGGTAACCATGCAAGGATAGACAGCGGAATATAAAATTTTTAACATCCTAACATGATTATCTTGCCCAGAATCACGTACTAAAACTTATAGTGAGTAAGAAATTTATACCTTTCTCCGTAAGCGGTAAAAACGAAGAAGTCGTAGAAAGAGCGTTGAAAGTGCAAACGTAACCGTTCAAGCGTCCGGTCTCCAACTTTGACACACGAACAACGCCGGAGTCTACCACAATCTTTATGCTAGTAAAGATTATAGTAGTATAAAATATAAAGATTAAAATTTGGGATAATAATAATCTTGTATATTTCTTATAGAAAATATTTCTAATAATATTTAGAAAATATTATAGATATTTTCTATACACAAAATGATATTAATGGAACACAAAAGAAATTTTCTCTCACTAGAAAATTATGGCCGAAAACAACACTTGCATCTGCAAAGATGATAATCTTCTCATATATCAATTTTTTTTAAAGTGCCGTGCAATCAATACAAAGAAGAAAAAAAAATTCCAAAGTGATTATGAATTTGACTTTGTCATTAACAAAATGACAAAATAGTTAGCTCCACTCAATTATCAATCAAGGAAATTTTTGTTCCTTTAAAAGATATCATGGCCGAACAATTGATTTGAAAAAGTGAGAAGGATTCTTGAAATTCTTCTCCACTTAAATGTTCAAAGTGTATTTTATTTGACACCAAAAATTAATATAAAATTAATTTTAAATCAAATAAAAAACCAATATCATTTTTAAACAAGTATACAAATATACTTTAAATAGTTTATGTCAAAATAATTATTTTCATAATTAAAATGACAAACCAAAATAAAATATTCAACATATAATATATATATATATATATATATATATATATATATATATATTTCGGCATTTATATATATAAATATATCACCGAATGTTTTACATATATATAATATTATATTCCAAAATATTTTATTTTACTATTTATACAAATATACAAATTACTTATTATCCCATTGTTTAATCCTACTCCTTAAATTGTCCAAAGTGTGTGACCCGTATAGGCACTTATAAAGCTGGCCACAGTATTGGCTCTGCACCAATCCTATAAGCAATAAGCGGTATCTAGCAACACATTATTGCCCCCAGATTATAAGTTAAGACGTTTGCACTGTCAAAACCTTTCCACGACTCAGACTCCGTGTAACTGTATCCCTTTGTCTCAATGTCTAAACTTAATGCAAGGGATTAATAAAATCCAACTTGTATCCATTAAGTCATTCACTGATTTATCAAGTCTGACTAATAGGAACAGACGTCATAAAAGCATCTCAGCATGGCCATGCAATTTCCTTAGTCATAACTTATCAGTGGGCCCCATAAGACATTAATCTCTTNAACAATGGCCAGAGGAAAGTCAAGGACCAAAACCGAGGCTTCAAAGAAGAAGGCCAACACCAACGCCACGACATCTTCTTTATTTTCTCCTTATTAAATATGATTGTATTTTTATGTGTTGTATTCTGCATTTCCCTTTTAATGAATAAAAGTTTACTTTTAATTCTTTTTGTTAATGTCAAAAGGGGGAAGATATAAAGATTATGCATAGATTGAGGGCGAACTATTTCTAAAACTAACTCTTATTTAACACACAAACTTTGTTGAAAAGAAAATTGCATTTATTAAGGGGGAACATTTTTTAAGTCTCAAATCAATCCTCCTATTGTTGAAACACGGGTTTATCATGTTTTCGTACTAAAGCCGTGTTCGTTGTTATGACAGGTTTTGATAATGCCAAACCGCCATGAACGAGACAAGTTATTGAATATACAATGCGAGAACCAAAGATGAGAAGAAAGAGAACAAGGGCCAAAAGAAGACCAAGAACGAAGACCGTGGTCTTAGTGTTGTTGAGTCGGTCATAGTTGTGATCAAGACCGACCTAACCTTTACACCTTGGCTCTTCAGGCTAAAATTCTTTGCATTGCATTACACACATCATTAAAAAAAATTTCAAACATGTTTAAAACATTAAAAACACTTGGTGTTCGCCCAAACCAAAAACCAAGCCATCCGGCGTTCAGGTTTCAGAAATCGGCGTTCGCATTCAGTTTTTGGTGTTGGTTTTTGGCTTCCAAACTAACCAAGTGGTTTTCAACTTTTTATTATTGGTTTTTACTTCTGGGCACATTTAAATAGTTTTTCATCAAAAACACTTCAAAAACCACCTTTCGTTTTTTGTCGTTTAATAAAAACCATGTGAAACGACATTAACTTGGCTAGCCGTGGTTTTTACTTAAATGAAGTGGTTTTCAAGTCTTTTTGTGTGGGAATTGTTTTTGAATGCATTTAAATGGTTCTCCAATCAAAACATCATGAAAATCACCTTTCGGTTTTGTCTTTTGGTAAAAACCACCCGTGTACGGTGTGGACTTGGTCAACCGTGGTTTTTACCTTAACGACGTGGTTTTCAACTTAAAAATATTGTTTTGACATCACAATACATTAAATAAGTGTTTTATATACTTATTTTTTACTTTGGAGAACTTTGCATTTTTCGGTCGGGTTTTAGCGCCGGTCAGCTAGGCCATGGTTCTGGGCTAGCCATCTACCCAGCGATGGTAGATATCACCCAGCCATGGGTAAGTGATTCCGGGATTCCAGAATCATGCTACCCAGCGATGGGAGATATTACCCAGCGATGGGTAAGCAGCCTTCAGCCCAATTGAATTCTAGAACCATGCCAAACAGCGATGGGAAGCTCTACCCATCGCTGTTCAAGCCTTGGTCCAACATTATCACAAGGCAGAATGCCCTTACCCAGCGATGGGAGATATTACCCATCCATGGGTAAGTGCCTTCCCAACGATGGGAGGATATTACCCAGCCATGGGAAGGCATGACCGTTGGAAGTCATTTAAGGTTGATTCTTTCCTTGTTTGGAAGTCAACCTCCCACCCAGCGATGGGAAGCTTGTACCCATCGATGGGTAGGTAACCGTTGGCTTCAAAACTGAAGGAAAATTGGCTTACCAGCGATGGGTAAGTTCCAAACATTGATGGGAAGCCAATATCCTGCAGATCCCAAATTTATTCAATCCCATAAATAGAGCCAATCACCCCTTTAATGTATTGATCCATTAGAACCTATTTTGGCACTATAAAAAGGGGTGTTTGGGTCTGCTTTAAACACCAATTCACTTCACAATATTCATACCTTCATTGCATTCAAATAACATCATTTTCCATAAGCTTTCTAGAGCCAAATCGTGTGAAGTTTGAGTTGTTCTTGAGCGTACTTAGTTTACTAATCATCTACTCTTAAAGAGAGTCTTGTTCTTGAGTGTTTACTTTTGTATACACGTTAAGGGAAGCTTGTTTCCCTTGGTTGTACGAAGGAAAGGTATTTTCCTTCGGGTTGAAGTCTTGGAGTGCGGTATCTTTGAGCAAGTGTTGTTGAGGCTCGTGGGACTCGAGTTCTCAGGTTGTAACAGTATGTTAAGCACCCGTAAGCTTAAGAGAAGTAGTGTAGCTCGAGAGAGTCTCTCGGGAGATTGGATTAGCCACACGTTGTGGTGAACCAGTATAAATCTTGGTGTGCTCCCTTTACACTTTTTACGCTCTCTACTTTTCACGTTCTTAATTTTTTTATTCCTGCGATTTCTACGATCAAACGCTATTCACCCCCCCCCCTCTAGCGTGGGTCACTTATTTTAACAAAAACCCTAGTAGAGGTGCATCAGGAGTCTCTTGCTGAATATCAATTGTGCGTAGCAGAGTCATAGTTGAAGTCTTCTACTGGATATCAATTATTCTTCTTTTTCCGTAAGTATACCTAGGCTATGCGTGTCTCAAGAATTACTGTCTTGTGAGGAGAGCTTATGAGGAGAAAAGTTCCGAAGATAATAGGACGTAGCAGGCACTATGACTCATTAACCATAGAGTAATGTATAAACACAACATTCTGAAACCCCTTGCTATTTTTGATGACTGGCAGTCTCTATACTAACAAAACGTGTAACACCCTAATCCGTCCAGGTCTGCAGCCCCTTTCGGACTAAAGTATTAACTTGGTAATCGTAAAATTTAAAACTTTTCAAACACTTTCATTTATCATAATAATATTTTACATATCATAAACAGTACAGAATTTTCAATATTGCGGAAGCTTAACAAATCATAACCACAAACATAATTTATTTATATTCTTTAATTCAAAACCATCACATCCATTCCGACTATCTCGCCTCCGTCTGCCTCCAGGATCACATCACATCATTCTATTGACTTGCGTGTAGCAAATAAAACACACTACACGCTCAGCGGTAAAGCTGAGTAAGCATATCTAATGCGTCGAACATCCACATAAATTGAATCTCAATTCATAATCAACCATTTGATATCATGCACATAATGTTCAGTTTAGATATTCAATAATCAATATTTAATTTTCAACATTCATTATTCAATCATTCAACATGTAAATTCATTATTTGTCATTCAACAATATCCTTAAACTATTCTTAGTCTAAGGCCAATCACTTCAATATTCGTCAACCCTTAAATGAATTCTAGTTTAAATAATTAAACTAGATTCTAGTATACAGAGTACTCCTAATAATCCTTAAGCTAGGCCTAGTTTAAGAAAAAAGGGTTTTGGAAATCTTAAACTTACCTTTACTTAAGGCCAACCAAAAACCGACAGCGTAGTGTTCACTGTTGGGTGGGTGGTACCCCCAAACGAGTAGGTATTCAATTTTGGTTCTTGAATCCCGTACGTACGTTTTAACCCTAGCCACCGGGCATCATACCCGCAAGGCCTAACTTATATAGGTATATCTTAGAGTTCTTCTAGATACCTTTCAAATCAACATTAATATGAGTATATCTTAGAGGTCTTCTAGATACCCTTAATAATACATGTTATTTTCACAATCATCAATATATTCATTATGATTTAATCATTCATAATTTCCATTTTTAATCAGAACAATTATCAAGATTTAATCATCACATTCATCAACCAATAATTATTACCATAATCATCAATCAACATAAAATTCAACAACAATTAGCGGCCTAGCTTTGAGTGTTAACACCCGAACTTACCGTCATGCATCACATAACATTTATATTTGTTAAAAACATCATTTTTATTGTGGTAAATCATTTTTATATTGTTCATAATTAATTGGTATCAAAAATAGGATTTTATAGCTCAAAAATCATGTTTTCTAAACAATAATCGATTAATATATGACCAGAAAATCGATTAATTGCTACTGCCTTTACTTTCTTCAATGGAGTAATGTAAAAATCGATTTTTCATTTTTATTAATCGAGTTTTAGGTAAAAATAATCGATTTTTGGGTTCTGGTTTCGTTTTCCTGACCAGAATGAACATATAATTCATTTTTAATGTAATAATCGATAATTAGTCGTCTTCTTCCTCAGGCCAACTTTCGAAAATGTCATTTTTAGTAACCAAACTTCAATTAAAGTATGTAGAAAGGTTTTCCAAGGTTCATGGATCATTTTGGTACCATTAATTTGTAGTTTTAACAACAATTTCAAGGTTTATGATTCTTGGTTCTTCAAACATGTCAAACACAAAACTCAACCAAATGACCATTTATGAACGTAGAAACGATCTATACGAACATTCTAGTCATTAGATATATCAACGAACTTACCTCGAAGCTTAACAAAGGTTTTAGAAATTTTCCGGCGAAACTTCCAGCGACGATAAATCTTAGCTCCGGCGACTTCACACCAAATTGATGGAACCACTGCGTTCTACTCACTTAGAGCAACAGAATAGGAAGAAGTTTTGAGAGAAATGGTGAAGAATTGAATGAGTTGGGTTTTCTTATATAAAGTGGTGAGGAAGAAGAAGACCCAGGATGATGATTCCTTCGATTTAGGATCTACTAGTGCGCTAGGAGGCGCCGACAGAGCAGTACTCTGATTGGGACCAATTTTGGTTCCAGTCGGGGTACACTTTTTGGTCCAACTTTCTCCGAATTGAAATCCGTTTGCACCATTGCGATCGTGAAATTGAACTCTATCCAACGATATAATTTTTACATTTATTCGTTAAACTTTTTCTGACATCATATTTTTTGGTGTTTGACTTTGACAGAGTAAAATTGATTTAGTTGATCTTTATTCAAAAAGGTTTCGCACATTTAATTCATATCATTTGTTCTAATGATTTATTTCAATAAATCATTTCAAAGTTCACATTATAAATAATTTCTTCATTTATTCTTGATTTGGGTCTGTACTCAGGTTCTCAATCAAGACCACACAAATAATCAACATATTGAGTTTATCTCTATGAGATTTATCCTGCTTGTGATATTAGATATCAAAACACATTTTATTTCGGCCCAAAGCCCAACAATAATTTATTTTAATCAAAACAAATTTGATTAATTTTAATAATTATCTATTAATAATTCTAGGGTATGTTTTTGGGCGTTACATTTCTCCCCCCCTTAAAAGGAATTTCGTCCTCGAAATTCTTCTAAGGCCAAACGTTCAAGATTTTGTAGTGATCTCACTTAATCATGACCATGTCATGCTCAATTGGTTACACCATAATTACGTCATTATCCACACGGATACGTACTTCCAATGTTATCAAACTCTTTCTTTCTTTAAGAGGTTATCAATCTTTGATTGAGTAAGGCATTCAGTGATCTTTCAGTATCAACAACTAAAGTTCCCGTATATAGGGTTGTAAACTTGACATACTAGACATAACACAATTCCCAATTGCACAACGTCAATTATTGGTATTCCTCCTTTGATTGAAAGTCTTTTGGTAGCATTTAAAGTTTCAAGTCATCACATTCACGATAGGTATAGTTGGGAATTTAGAGTTCGTTTTCAATCCATACATCGTAGCATAATCTTTCAAGTCAATCAAGACATCTTCACATTGTTTACATAGTTTAGCAATGGCTCTTAAGTAACATCAAATGCCTTTCCTTGATTCAGGATAGGGAATTTGTCATCATTTATGAGCAAGTACTTGTCAATCGGTTGTAGAGTAGCTCGTTATCATCCATTTACATCGAAACATTTCTTCATTCACTTCACGGTAGCTCTCATTTATCGTTTAATGCGTCTTCGTATTCATAGGTGATGACGTTCGAGTAGCGTCTCATGTACAACTTGTCGTATTCAAACTTCTTCTATTAATTTTAAAACATATCTAGATATGATAGCAACAGATTCGATTGTAGCACTATGGTTGATCTTGTTTCAAGGGAAGAAGAGAAGATCTTCAGTACGTAATTCAATTCATGAATTCATAGAGTGAGGGATCTTTACAAGTTCTAACACCAACATCGCATATGGGTTCGGGATCTTCACTTGAATGATCCAGCCTGTTCTTGTGACGTCATTTCTTCTCTGGTTGTCGCATATACATTTCCTTGCTAGGATCCTAACAATATCAACAATAATAATCTTCAGAGATAGCATAATCGTATTGATTGTTGTAGTCCACAAAGAGAGGTTTAACATAATGTTTAAGTCAGGGTTGTTTTACTATTGTGATCGAGTCACGTATTCCACATGGTATAATTTTCTAAGATTGGTATCATAAAGCATGTCTTAAGAACTAAAAGTTGAGACAAATTTTCAATGATTTGATACAAACAATGGAATTCAATCTTTTCAAGATTGATGAAGCGGATTAAGTGTCTGTAATTAACACAGAAAATTTTGAGTATCTCAAGGATAAGAATCACAAGATACAAAGATAGCGTTTGGAATCATTTTCACTAATCGTAGGTTTTCATCCTTCATTGTTTCACTCTTTAAAAATTCTCAAGAGGTCGTTGTCTTAGGAAATGGCCATTTTGACTTTTTATCTCGGATTTGAACGTATTTCAGGATAGCGAATCTAACTATTCAAGAGTCTCAATATGTCATATCGTCAGCAGGCTACAGTATGTATTGGCGAGTACGTTCTTGATTCTAAGTAGGTCAAATCCATTTTACTTTATGTAATTCGGCTGGTGATAATAATTCTGTTTCCATCAAGGGTCAGATTTCAGAGACTATATATATCACGATTATAGAAAGAGTATCTCGCATTCTCACATTATGGAAGAAACTTCTCGAGCTTTTTCTCACACCATAAGATTTGTTGGATTACTTGGTAGTCATGCTCTTGGTAGCAATCCAAGGTTCATGGCTACAACAATAGATTTAGGACGAGAATTGGTAAGGCGCAAAATTAGGCTTACCTACAGAGGAGGCAATGTTGGCCTTCAAGGAGCTGTAGCGTCAACAGTCTATAATAATGGTGGTAGAGTCAGAGGTTTCATACCAGAGTATATAGCAGCACGACAGGTATACGGTCCTACGTATGGTGTAGAGTACACCGTTTCTAGCAATTACTATAAGTATTTCGAGATGAATCATATTGTGGAAGCCTTCATCGTACTTCCTGGAGGGATTGACACCATGGAAGGTTTATTCACTTTGATCTCATGGGCATCCGAAGGGTTACACAGTAAACCCATTGGTCTTTTGAACATTGACGGTTATTTCAATAACCTAATCAAGTTTCTAGATGATGCGGTGAGGCAGAACTTCATGGCTTTAAATCAGAGGAAACTGTTCATCTCTTCTTTCTTTGTTGATGAGCTTTTAGACAAACTAGAGTTTGCTAAAGCTTTTCCAGGTCCTGGTGCTAATTACGACGAGTTCGTGAATCCCGGAAGGTTAGATTTAGAATTACATTTGTAATATTACTTCATGTAATCCCAGTTGTATTGGTGTCGGAATGATATTATTTATGAATATTATTCTACGTTGTATGGCGAGTGCGAGTTGCATTTCTTCTCTCTTCAGTCTTTCACTATTGGTGTCATTGTTTCACGTCTTGTTTTGTATTGTTACCACGCCCCAATCCTTCACGTCAATAGGATATACAAACGAGTCAATATCTTATTGATTTGTCTTGTCAGCATCACTTTACTTCATTTATTCGATCAGACTACATCGACGTTTTTGATGATAAGTAATTAGGTCATTAATCGCTTCTTAACAAGACATCAGTTCATTCATCAAGGTTGAGCGCTCTATGGCTTCTAACAAGCAGGTTATTTGAATTTTACTGAATAAGTCGTTAGTTCATAGTAAAGGATAACAATTCTCGATTGTCAGTTTGTTCAAGTTTCTTAACAAGGATTTGTGAGTATCCTGACCGTAAGTCAATCTTAGAGAATACAATAGATTCTCTAAGCTGATCAAATAAGTCATGATACGAGGTAAAGGATAACGAATTGTTCAACTGACAGTAGTTGATATAGAGTCTCATTGATTTGCGTATGAACAAAACAGGTATTTTTCCAAGGAGGAAACATTTGGTTAGATGATTCTTTGTTAGGAAGTCATTGATGGAAACACGTTCAATACAGAGTTACGAATATTGGTCCTTCAGTTCAGATCTTTCCTTTGCGTATCACACGAAAAGACTTTACACTCCTTTTGGTTGAGAGGTTTGCGCACCAAAAATTCGAGGTGAACTCGGTCGGTTTAGAAATCAGCTTTGCTTTCACCTATATAAGGTTTCCATCATCGATCTTCAGTTGAAGAATTCTTCATCAAGAGTTTTAAATGCCTGCATCATTCGATCAGCCAATGTATACTAAGGATAATCGTCAAATTCCTTGTATGGTATTTCAACGACATTTTGCAAGGAGTTGTCGCTTAACGAACGATTTCGATTCCTAAGATATAAATGCATATTTGCATCTTAATGACATCAGAATGGGATACTTTAGATAACAGAGTTTTATTGATACTAAACGTTCTTGTTTAAATCAGCAATCCCATCGTCTTCAGTCCACATGAGCAGCTTTGCGGATGTTATTGGACGTTTCTTCATAGTCGTCTCACTTTTATGCGACTTTGCGAGACAGATCAGTTTCGTCATTCGTGATGCGATAAGTACGTTGATAACGTATCAGGGAGTCATTATTATTTTTTTGTCTCTTCACCGAGTAAGAAAAATTTACTTGAGTCTATGCTCAATACGATTTCAGTACTAACAAATGTTATCTGATGAGAATTCAATATAGTCAATATTTACTAAGTAAATTCTCATACCTTTCCTGGAGCAGAGGGGCGCGAGAGTCGTGGATGTGATTGACTCAATTTTTTTTTAATTCAAATTTTGATCCGAAGATCGGTTTTAAAACCATTTGCTCTGATACCAAATTGTAACACCCTAATCCGTCCAGGTCTGCAGCCCCTTTCGGACTAAAGTATTAACTTGGTAATCGTAAAATTTAAAACTTTTCAAACACTTTCATTTATCATACTAATATTTTTCATATCATAAACAGTACAGAATTTTCAATATTGCGGAAGCTTAACAAATCATAACCACAAACATAATTTATTTATATTCTTTAATTCAAAACCATCACATCCATTCCGACTATCTCGCCTCCGTCTGCCTCCAGGATCACGTCACATCATTCTATTGACCTGCGTGTAGCAAATAAAACACACTACACGCTCAGCGGTAAAGCTGAGTAAGCATATCTAATGCGTCGAACATCCACATAAATTGAATCTCAATTCATAATCAACCATTTGATATCATGCACATAATGTTCAGTTCAGATATTCAATAATCAATATTCAATTTTCAACATTCATTATTCAATCATTCAACATGTAAATTCATTATTTGTCATTCAACAATATCTTTAAACTATTCTTTGTCTAAGGCCAATCACTTTAATATTTGTCAACCCTTAAATGAATTCTAGTTTAAATAATTAAACTATATTCCAGTATACAGAGTACTCCTAATAATCCTTAAGCTAGGCCTAGTTTAAGATAAAAGGGTTTTGGAAATCTTAAACTTACCTTCACTTAAGGCCAACCAAAAACCGACAACGTAGTGTTCACTGTTGGGTGGGTGGTACCCCCAAACGAGTAGGTACTCAAGTTTGGTTCTTGGATCCCGTACGTACGTTTTAACCCTAGCCACCGGGCATCATACCCGCAAGGCCTAACTTATATAGGTATATCTTAGAGTTCTTCTAGATACCTTTCAAATCAACATTAATATGAGTATATCTTAGAGGTCTTCTAGATACCCTTAATAACACATATTATTTTCACAATCATAAATATATTCATTATGATTTAATCATTCATAATTTCCATTTTTAATCAGAACAATTATCAAGATTTAATCATCACATTCATCAACCAATAATTATTACCATAATCATCAATCAACATAATATTCAACAACAATTAGCGGCCTAGCTTTGAGTGTTAACACCCGAACTTACCGTCATGCATCACATAACATTTATATTTGTTAAAAACATCATTTTTATTGTGGTAAATCATTTAATATTGTTCATAACTAATTGGTATAAAAAATAGGATTTTATAGCTCAAAAATCATGTTTTCTAAACAATAATCGATTAATATATGACCAGAAAATCAATTAATTGCTACTGCCTTCACTTTCTTCAATGGAGTAATGTAAAAATCGATGACTACACAATCTGTGCTGTCAAAAAATAATGCCAATAGGAGGTAACAACTCAACAATAAAGTGATAAAGGGAACATAGGAACTAACATAAACTAGAGAGCACAAAAATATAATTTGGTCACAGTGGATGACTTTGAGTTTGAGTAAATCTTTCTTATCTTTGGGCACATTAGAAGAAGGGGACAATGATGATGATTATGAAGAAGACTTTTGTGGATCTAAAAAGGGAAAACAAGATGCTAAAGATGTTATTTTCTCAAAGATTGACCATTTCTTCTATTAGAAAAAAAAGTCTTTAGCGTAAAAGATGAGTTTGGTGCTAGTTTATCATGTTAGACATTTGGTTTCGGTCATTATTAGAATTCTTGGAGATAACTATGTGATTTTGCAGTTTAGTCATCGAGATGAACTAATTATTGAGATGGTATTCGTTAATTGAAAATAATTCCCAGTTCAGTCCCTCCTCCGACTAACGTTCATCAAAACAACGTCAAAACGATAATAAAGCTTATAATAATCTTTCAAAATGATCATCTCTAATTAAATTTTTTTCCAAATTAGATTATTTTGGAAAAAGAACTTATAAAAATGGTCTTCCGACATCGCTCAAACATCGTAAATCAAATAAAAAAGGCCACTACTTCGGATTTTCATATTTAAAGATTTTTTACTTCAAGCATGGATCAATTTGAGATAATATTCGATTACAAAGGATCATTTTGAGAAAATTGCATAAGTTTTAATGTTGTTTTGATGGCCGTTAGTCAAGAGACTAAATGGGACATTATTTTCAATTAATGAGCTAGTACCATGCATCTTGATAATTAGTAAGTCTTGTGGACTAATTTGGGAAAATACATTTGCCTTTTCCTCATTTTCAGTGGGTGCTTGACTAAGGCATGAATTACCTAAATTAACCTTAATGAAAAAAAGAAGAGAAAGAGGGAGGCCGAACCACTTGCAAGGAAAGTACAACAACTACACTATTTTACTCATTACTTAAGTATGGGATCATACATCAAATCAATGATTACATAACAAAACTTAGGCATTCCCTCCAAATTTTTAGAGAATGCTGCCCAAATGTTTTATAAATCCTTCAAATACAGAACAATGCTCCCCAATTCTACAAGCTATTTAACCCCCTAGACTTCCATATTTTGGCCTTAACCTCATTCCCCTATCTTGTACATCTTTCTCTTCCTCATATTTTGGACAATCCTTTCACATTCAGCTTTATTCCTCTTTCTTTTTTCATCTCTATATCCGGGGGCCTGCATACATACATGAGTAACCTTCAAATTAACACAAAAAATTAGACAATGCAACAAGGCCGGTTATAAGTGAATCAGTACTTTCACATTCAAAGCAGAACCCATATGGTTCTTACTCAGCGCAGTATGGACAGATCAACAAGCTTAGCTTGCTGCACAATTTAGTGTGTCTAGAAGAACAGTTAGTAGCAAATGGACCATTGCAAAGAAACAATTAGAGCATGACATGATTACCATCGATCTCAGAAATAGAATGCCAAGAAATAGTGGCAGAAAAGGGCTGTGATGGATGTAAAGGCTATAACAAAGACACTCCCCTGAGGAAGAGGACTACTATAAGATCATTAGTAGCTGCCATTCATAAGCCTAAGTCAATTGTGCATGAGTGGATAAAAAAGGTATGCTTAGGAGCCATTTTAATGCTATTAAACCTTACCTATTATATGCTAATAAAATTTCAAGGATGAGCATCTATTTAGATCTGGTTGACCCATATACCATGTCAATGCACCATAGGTTTAAGACTTTTGAGAATGTTTTACATATTGATGAGAAATGATTCTTTATGTCCAAAACATCTCAATTATTTTACCTTCTACCGGATGAAGTAGACCCATATAGGGCTTGTAAATTAAAAAGGTTCATAGCTAAATTAATGCTTCTTTGTGTGGGTGGGAGACCACTGTTTGGGGGAAATTGAAAAGTGTTGTGGGATGGAAGAATTGGCAGTTTTAGTTTCAAAAAAAATAGAAAGCCAAAAGGAAGAGCAAGAATAGGCCAAAAGGAGTGTTGGAGGTTAAACCAATTACTTGTGTTACCAAAGAAGTCACAAAAGACAGGCTGATCAACATAGTTATTCTAGCAATCCAAGAGAAATGGCCAAGACAAATGTCAAAAGACATACACATTCAGAAAGATAATGCAAGGTCACATATTCAAGGAGTGGACTCTGACTTTATGGCAGTTGGAAACAGAAACGGGTTTCACATAACTCTAAACAATCAACCCCCCAACTCTTTAGACTTACATGTTCTAGATCTTGGGTTTTTTAGAGCCATTCAGTCCTTAAAGGATGACTGTCCTCCAACTACTGTGGTAGAGTTGTTAGAGGCTGTTGAGGGAGCATATAATGCCCTGAGTCTAGAATGCCTAAACAAGGTTTTGTTGTCTTACCAGCACATTATGACTAAAGCAATGGAACATGAAGGAAACAACAACTACAAATTTCCACACATGGGGAAAGACAGACTTGCCAGACAAGGAAATCTGCCCAAATGCTTAAACATAGATCTAGCCTTAGTTGAGAAGACAACAAGACTACTTTGAGATGCATATGAGTACTCACCTTCATACTTGAGCTGAGCCCACACTTCAAAGAATTGTTTTTCGGATTGTGGTTACCACACTGGGTTTTGTAAGTGCTTACCACATTAGGTATGTTTGGGTATTCATTTATGTAAGTGGTAGGCATATGGGGTTTTTTTGGGTTTTGCTTTTTGTAAGTGGTAGCCACAGTTAGTTTTTGGGTTTGGGAGTTTTGTAATCACATCAAGGCAACAACACCCTAATAACTCTATATGTAACCATGTAAAATGACAATCAACATATGACATGCAAAATTTTATTCCCATTTCATCATTGCTGAGTTTTTAAACAAGCACGTATGCATACATAAACATTTCAACAGCATTAGGAGTATCTGCCGACACTCTTCCAAAAGGCAACAATGTATAATAAGGAAAAACATGCATTAAACCACAAAAATATTAAACCTTCACTACTAAGAGACAACATTAGTATTATCATTCTCATCATTGTAAGAGTGTGTTTCCTCAGACATTCATCACAAAAACTGGCTAGAAATAAGAAGCATACCCATAAATAAGACCACAAAGGAGTAAGGCCTTCACTACTCAGAGACAGCTTAAGTATAAACATGCTCATCACAACAAGACTATAAATTCTCAGAAAATCATCACAGAAAGTGGCCACATAATTCTTATAGGCAATAGTGTATAAGAAGCATACCTAGAAATTCAAACCCTCAAAGGTGTAAGAACATCACTACTCAGAAAAACCTTAAGTATAAACATGCTCATCACAGTAGGACTATAAATTCTCAGACAATCATCGCAGAAAGTGGCCACATA